TGGAGCTGTGGCTCAAGTGGTAGAGTGCTAGCCTTGAGCTGAAGAGCTGAGGGACAGCGCCCAGGCCCAGAGTTCAGGCCCCACAACCGGACCCAAAAAAGAAAAGAAAAGAAATTCAGTTCTTTTTATAACTGAATGTACTACTTTATAACAAAATATCTTCTACTGTACCTAAATTTTGTTGAGGAATGAGAACAGATGGGTGTTGTAAGGCCATTTAAATTTTCTGAACTTTTGAGCCCTCACTTCTATTTACCCATTCATTCACAGCTTTTCTTATAATTTGTAGCATAACCATTTAATAATTTATGTGGAAATTTATATTAAAATTTTGAACACTTTAGTTTGTGAGGTAAAACTAACCTTACTCCTTTTGGAAAGACAAGGAAATATCACCCCTGATTAGGAGAACAATTGCTCTAAGTACTAAAAATGTAATTGTATTTTAGTACCAGTACCAAAACTTGAACTCAGATCTACACACTAGCATTTTTGCTCATAGCTGGCACTTTCCCACTTGACCTCCATCTCCCGTACAGCTTTTTTTGCTGGTTAATTGGGAATGGAGTCGCTCAGACTTTTCTGCCTTGAACTACTCTGCCTTCATGAATAACTAGGGTTGCAGGTAGGAGCAATCCCCACCCCCACGACAGCAATATGTTCCTGGGAAAAATGATCTCAATTTATCAGATGTTATTAACTCATAATATCTATATACTTTGGTGGAAATAGGACTGCATTCTTTAAAAGAAGCACAAATCTTGTAAGTCTATGAAAAAGTAGTTTGACCCACCAAATAAATATGCCTCTGTGCATATGCAAACCTTGTTTAATACTGATTGTCCTCATTTGGTTCTGCCTTTTTACATCTTCACTGTGTTTTGTACCCTTGGTATCACATATTTAAAGTAAACACACTTCTGTTACATGCTTATGTTAGTTTTAACTTGTACACAGCTATAGCTACTAAAGAAGTTTGATAGGTATCTGGAGGTTAATAACATCTTTAAGTAGTTAAAAAAAAATTTTTTTATTTCAAGTGGTTTTCCTCTCAGTTGTTTGCCGAATGTAAGAATGCCTTTCTTGAAATGATTTCCTGATTTATATTCAAGTTTTATAAGAGAAGATTCTTATTTTTAGGAATTTCTAAATTGACTAATTCATTTTAAGGTTTGGTTTTACATTGAATATTAACATGCTTAGGAAGATAGTATTTATATTTTCTGGGTTTTTTCTTTATTTTTATTTTTGGTTGGTTGTGTGGCTTGAACTCTGGGACTGGGCTCTGTCCATGAGCTCTTCAGCTCAAGGTGAGCATGCTCTACCACTTGAGCCACAGCACCACTTCCAGTTTTCTGGTGGTTAATTGAAGATAAGAGTCTCATGGACTTTCATGCCTGGGCTGGCTTTGAACCACAATCCTTAGATCTTAGCCTCCTGAGTAGCTAGGTTACAGGCATGAGCCATCAGCACCCAGCTTTTTTGTTTCTTTTTAAATGTTATATCCAACTTAGAAGTGAAAGAACTGTAGTGATAGTTTCTTTAAACCAATCTTCAATGGTGAGAAAAATGCCTGGTTATTGAGATACAAGTGGAGCTATAGATTTGAAAGAAACTCACATGTAATCTTTTCAAAGCTGTTCCCTTTTAAAATACTAATGGGAGCAATCCCATAAAATATCCCTACAGGAAATTTAAAGCTTTAGGCTGAATATCCTTTTGCAATTTTTTTTGTTTTCAATATAATTTCAGAATTCTTAATCATAATTTTTTTTGCTTAACAAGTGGTTTTTGCTCACTTATTATATATTGCACTGGTTTACACATTGAGAAATTTACAGTGTGAGTTTTCTGTTAGTACTTCATAAAACTAATTGTCCATTATTCCTAAAATAACTTGATTGCTTAGAAAGAGAGTTTGAGTTTGAACTTTCCTTATCTAATACATTCTACTAAGAATTTCTGTTCTTAGAGTAGACCAAATAAAAATACTTTATTGTTGGCCTGGTTCTAAGTCCATTGTTACCATATAGAAGTAGTTCATATTGCCTGACTGAATTAGGTATTATTTATCCTCATCCTCCTTAAGAGAGATCAGAACTTATAAACCTAAATCCATAACTTGGCTTATTTTTTTTAAATCATTACATGATGTGTTAGGTAAATAATAAGTTGTGGCAGAAGATTTCCAATAGCCTAATGAAGAGAAGAATCATTAAACTTAGGCATAGCTAGCAAAGAAACAGTAGTCTAGGGCCATATTCATATAATCGGGCCACCTAAACCTGTCCAGCTTGATCCTCATTACAAATAAAACTTTAATACAACATGTAATAAGGTTGGGTTTTTTATTTGTTTGTTTTTAGTTGAAAATAGAGGGGTTACTAAGAAAAATTTAGCTAGGTTACAAGGATTCTCTTCCCTTGGTACAATGTAGATAAAACTACTATTTTGTTATAAAGTGCAAATTTTGTTTTAACTTGCTGATTTAAACTGCTAGTTTATAAGCTACCTTAATTTAAATGCTCCTTGGTTTTTTCTAGATTTTTCCAGAAGTTCAGCTGAATCACATCAGTACAAAATAATAAAATGTAATGCCAAATGCTTCATTAAGTTATTTTTTTAAGCCCTGATTTTATTGGCGATATCAGACTTTTAGGTTTCTGTTAATTTAAATGATAGGATTTTGTTATGCTAAAGAGCCCTTGGTAGGAAGGAAATTCAATATAGCTTTTGTGTAGATTCTGAAACACCATTCTTGTTTACCAGTAGTGACAAAGTGTCAGATTTCATTATGTCAGACAGCGTTCTTGACAACTTTGTTGTCAGGCATATGCACATTTCTCCACTTAAAAACAGCTTAAGTGGTAGAGTGCTTGCCTTGAGCTGAAGAGCTGAGGGACAGCGCCCAGGCCCAGAGTTCAAGCCCCACGACCAAAAAAAAAAAAAACATAGGCTCAGAGTGTATAATGGTAGGCCTATGAAATGCAAATAACAAAGATAAAACAGCAAGACTTAACTGTGTGTTTTACTTGCTTACTGATGAGTAGTAAAAACTATTGTGTTGAATCTTGATTATCTTGTTCTACTTATAATACTTTATTTTGATATAGTTGAATACATAGGATACATGCCATTTAATAAATAAGAAAAAGATTTATTGCACAGGCTAGAAACCTAATGGCTCTTTATTTCTCTTTTAAAGTTATTCCTTATTGATTTTGGTTTGGCCAAAAAGTACAGAGACAACAGGACAAGGCAACACATACCATACAGAGAAGATAAAAACCTCACTGGCACTGCACGATATGCTAGTATCAACGCACATCTTGGTATTGAGCAGAGGTGAGTTTGAAAACATTTATTAGTTTTTTGCAATGCCTAAGAATGTCTCTTCTTTTGGCTGAGGATTTGAAGGATGACTATTAATTGTTTTACTGCTTAGAAGCCAATTAAATGAGGTCCTTTGTTTTCTCCTTGAAGGTTGTCTCTTTGAAATAGTGTGTCATGAAAAGTTAGAAAAAGAGTAAATGCTGTGGTGACAATTTTTCATTAGCCTCACTTCTTGTTACTTTTCCAGGTCTTTTTTGTTTTAAAGGGATAATAGTACATTTTGTTTTTCTTTTTGGCAGTTGTAGGGTTTGAATTCAGGGCCTGGGCTCTGTCCCTGAGCTCTTTTGCTCAAGGCTAGTACTCTGATACTTTAAGCCATATAGCTCCTTTTCTGTCTTTTGGATTTTGTGGGGTTGTTTTTTTGTTTTTGTTTTGCGGTTGTAGGGCTTGAACTCTGGGCACTCTGGGCCTGGATGCTATCCTTGAGCTCTTCAGCTCAAGGTGAGCATTCTACCACTTGAGCCACAGCGCCACTTCCAGTTTTCTGGTGGTTAATTGGAGAGTCTCATGGACTTTCCTGCCCAAACTGGCTTTGAACCAGATCTGTTTCCTGAGTAGCTAGGATTACAGGCGTGAGCCACCAGTACCCAGCTTTAAAAGTACATTCTTGCATAAGACATCAAATAAGTCTCTTATCTTCATACGGGAACTATTTTTTTCCTGTGTATAATATTGACTTTTGTTTCCATAAGTGAGTTATTAAAAGGACATTCTCTCTTCTAGTCGCCGAGATGATATGGAATCATTAGGATATGTCTTGATGTATTTTAATAGAACCAGTCTGCCATGGCAAGGACTAAAGGTAAATCAGACTCAGATTACTAGGATTTTGTTTTAGTTTATTATGTATTTGGGGTCAGGGTTGGGGGGATGAACTCAGACAGGTGCTGTCCTGAAGCTTCATTTGCTCAAGGCTAGCACTCTACTACTTGAGCTGCAGCTCTGTTTTGATTTTTTATTTTTTTGAGTAGTTTATTAGAAATGATCATCTCATGGACTTTCCTGCCAGGGCTGACTTAAGTCATGATCCTTAGATCTCAGCTTCCTAAGTAACTAGGATTACAGGTGTGAGACACCAGTGCCCTGGGCCTTCTAGTTTTTTAATTTTTGTGATTAATTAGAGATGAGTCAATTTGTGGAAAATGTGTTCATTGAGTGGTACTAATTTGTACAATTGTTGGAACATTTTGTTTTTACTAACAAGAACTTTTGCTGTTTTAGTATTTGTTAATAAATCTTTATGATACAGAATTTAGTAGCTGTTTTTAAAAGCCTATTAGTCCTTTAAAGGAAAAAGCAATTCTTGAATGGCTGTACTGTTCTTGTGCAGATAAGTGTTATTCAATATGAATTTGTCCTTTTTTAACTCATCTTGAGTCACTAGTAGGGTATTATTTGTATATACAATTAAACTATTAAGGTTTTTCTCCATAGTACTTATGGGATCTTTATGTTTAATTATTTTCTTCAGGCTGCAACAAAGAAACAAAAATATGAAAAGATTAGTGAAAAGAAGATGTCTACTCCTGTTGAAGTTTTATGTAAGGTAAATATGCTTAAGGAGTAATACTTTTTTAAGTTTTAAGTTTTGATTGTTTTTATGTCTTTGGTTTGTTTTGTAATCTGTTTAAAAAATTAACAGCAGATAAACTTTTTGAAAGAAATTTATTCATCTATAGGAAAAAATAAATATTCTTGACTGTAAATATGGTTGAAATGGTACAACACTTGCAAATGCAAGTCCAAATCATATATTGGGGAGGGGAGTTTGGGAGAAGAGAGAGAGGAATCCAAGTTGGGCATAGTAGTACAGTTTTCTCTGGAACCTGAAATAGGAATATTCTCAGAAAGCAGAGGAGGGGAGAAAGGATGGAAGGGTACATATAAAGAAGAGTATAGAGTGGTCCCAAATAGCAGTTTTCCAATAACAGAAAAATACAGAAGTCAGTTTGAGTCAGTCTCATTTATCAGAAATCTCAAGGTTCATTGAAAGGCAAGTAGCTTTAGAATGGAGACATATTTGGATCCTAATAAATACTTATTATCTATCTCCTCCTTTGAAAGAGAGTTAAATGCTAGGTTTGGTACAACATGCCTATTTCACAATATTTGAGCTCAGGGACAGCTAGGCTTGTAAAAGGAAACCTTGTCTTAGAAAGAGAGACAAGGAGCCAGGTGCCCATGGCTCACTCCTGTAATCCTAGCTACTCAGGAGGTTGAGATCTGAGGATCCATGGTTCAAAGCCAGTCCAGGCAGGAAAAGTCCTGAGACTCTTATCTCCAGTTAACCACCAGAAAACTGGAATTGGATCAGTGGCTCAAGTGGTAGAACACTAGCCTTGGTGAAGAGCTCAGACCCAGAGTTTAAGAGGGAGGGGCCGGTGGGCCGGTCACTAACTAGTAGCTAATGCCTTTATCCTAGCTACTTGAGACTGAGATCTAAGGATCCTGTTTTGAAGCCATCCCAGGCAGGAAAGCCTATGAAACTCCTATTTCTAATATCTGGCTCAAAAAGCCAGAAGTAGAGCTGTGGTTCAAGTAGTAGAGTGTTAGCCTTGAGCACAAAAGCTCAGGGACAAGGCTCAGTCCCTAAGTTCAAGCCTTAGGGCCTGCACAGGTTAAAAAAGACAGGGGAAGAAGGAAAAATGTACATGTGGGCCTTTGAGTTAAGCCAGTCTAGTCTCACTGACTTTCCTGCCGGAGCTGGCTTTCAACCACGATCCTCTGTTCTCAGCCTCCTGAGTAGCTAGGAGTACAGGTGTGAGCCACCAGCACCTGGCCTGTGAGTGAGACTTAACCTCCAGTAAACCCACCAGAACACAAGAAGAAGAGCTGTGGCTCAGCATGGTAGAGCACTATCCTTGAGTAAAAAACCTTAGGGACAGCGCCCAGGCCCTGAGTTCAAGCCTCAAGATGGGCAACAACAACAAAAAACAACCCACCTTCAGAGTGTAGCAGTACTATGCCCCATTCTTTGTGACAAAGTTTGATTACAACTCTCCGTCTTGCCTTTGCCTTCAAATGATTATAGTACTATACAGTAAACTAAAAACTGGTCTATCTGAATTATGCCGGGAGCACATTGCTATAAGACAAGGTTAGGTCTGTCTTCTATGAAGGTGTTGCATATACTGAGGTGAGTAGGATGATGAAATTTTAATTAAATCACACAATTATTTTGTTACCTTTATGCTAAGTATTAAAACACCCTACTGAGTTACATTTTATTTGCTTGTCACTACTTTTATTTTCCTGTCTCAAAAAAAGATTTCATTTGTTACTCTGTTTCTACACTGAACCTTTAGGGGTTTCCTGCAGAATTTGCCATGTACTTAAACTATTGTCGTGGACTGCGCTTCGAGGAAGCCCCGGATTACATGTACCTGAGGCAGCTATTTCGCATCCTTTTCAGGTCTGTCTTTATCAACTGTTTTTAATGACTAAATTCTAGTAAAGGAAATTGCTTAGATCTACTGAATTTATCTGTTCGATAATTAAAGAATGTCTGGTATAAATAAAAATCCTAAATAACAGTTACTTGATATTGTCATTATCCAGGAGTACAAATTTGCTTGAGATGGCTTTGATTTGAGCTACATAGATAGATCTTTTTTGGGGCTGGGAAGGTAGCTCAGTGGTAGAGTGCTTGCCTCGCATGCATGAGGCCCTGGGTTCAATTCCTCAGCACCACATAAAACAGAAAAGGCCGGAAGTGGTGCTGTGGCTCAAGTGGTAGAGTGCTTAGCCTTGAGCTAAAGAGCTCAGGGACTCCGCCCAGGTCCAGAGTTAAGGCCCCAGGACCGACAAAAAAAAAAGAAGAAAAAGAAAAACCTTTTTCCAAAATAGTTGTGATTCAGTTTAGATGATAGATCTTTCTAGTCCTGGTACAAAACCGTTTAGTACCAACTGTTAGATTGTATGTGGTAGAAAGAATTAAAAGAATCCTTTAGTACCAGAAAATGTGTCCCAGAGGACTACCAGCCCCAACATCTCTTTCTTAATTTCTAGTTTCATAATTAAAACTTCCAGTTTCTTATCTACTCTTGCTTGTAGGAAATATTTGTTAAGAATATCCTCCTGATATTTGACAGCTTGACTTCCGGTTCTAGTTCTTGCTGTCTTTTCATTCCTTGCCCTTTCAGGGAAATTGCAAAGTGGCCTATATTTGGAAATAGAAACATGTTTCTGCCGGGGAGAGGGTGAAAGGGGCACATGGATGGAAGGAGAAAGGGTGAACAAATGCCATCATTCTATTTGACATACATTATGCAACAAGTGAACTTTAGGATAGGGATAGGTTGGGGAAAATGAGGGAGAACAATGGGAAGGGGTGACATTGACCAAGAAACATTGTACTCAGGCCCTGACTTGTCACCTCTTTGTACAACTGTTGAATAATAAAATAAATCAAAGTGACCTGTATTTGAAAAGACCAGAGTGGTAACATCATTTTTCCTTGATCATAACATGTAAAAATTGGAATTAATTCACTTGAGTGGTTTAAAAAGAAAAGGTTATCTATAGGGTGAGAATTTTTATAAGCTACCAGACTTGAAAAAAGGTGGTCATGTTCTAAAGGAATGCCCTCAGTGGAGGGGAGACAGCACCACCTACCTATACCTAGGAATGCCAGACTCTTGGGTTCAAACTGCATTTCCCTACCCCACCCCCAGAAAAAAATGAGAAGGGATTCATTCATTCACTATCTTTAAAAGTATGTCATGTTTTTAGTTAGACACAGTTTTGAAGGATTACATAATTTTTTTTATTTTCCAGGACCCTGAACCACCAATATGACTACACATTTGATTGGACAATGTTAAAGCAGAAAGCCGCACAGCAGGCAGCCTCTTCCAGTGGGCAGGGTCAGCAGGCCCAAACCCCCACAGGCAAGCAAACTGACAAAACCAAGAGTAACATGAAAGGTTAGTAGCCAAGAACCAAGTGACGTTACAGGGAAAAAATTAAATACAAATTGGGTAATTCATTCATTTTTTTAACAGTGTTAGATCAAGGAGGTGGTTTTTAAAATACTTTTAAAAAATTGGCTGTATGGTTTAAAAAAAAAAAAGACGTCCTTGGAAAATTTGACTACTAACTTTAAACCCAAATGTCCTTGTTCATATATATATGTATATATATTTGTATATACATATATGTGTGTATATTATTATATCATTTCTCTTGGGATTTTGGGTCATTTTAATAACTGCATCTTTTTTACTCATTCATTAACCCTTTCCAAAATAAATATTTGGTGTTGGGAATATGGTATTATCAATCAATCCAAAATCCTAGACCTAACACTTGTTGATTTTTAATGAATTTAGTTAAGCCATGGTATTTTGACTTTCTTTCAGACTAACAATGTTGAGGGTTTTTCCTTTCTGTTGGGTTTTTTTTTTTTTGCATGTTAATGCTTTAGTATTTTAAATGAGTAATTGTGAGTGTGATCTAATTTCAAGAGGTGAGTCTGGCATTGTCCCCAAATGTTTGTATCTTCTCCATTGCAGGGAATCTCATTCATAGACGATCATTATAACTGCAAAAATCAGCCTATTGTTTTTGATCCTAAAGTTAATCTTTTACTTCTTAGTTTAACTACAAAAAAAAAGTTGATTTCGAAATGATTTCTTTGAATTTCGGCTTTATTTTGAAATACATTGCAAACACCAAGCTATACTGGTTCAATATGGGATTGATGTATATAGTTAATCCTTGCAAATTGAAGATAACTGGGGCAAATGCCATTAAACTGCTAGTCTGTTTTCTTTCTCTGGCAGTTGTAATATTTCTAAGGAGTAGAACTGTTAGGGAACAGCTCCATTCTTAACCACTGTTGCCATACAGTTCAACTCCCATTTTCACGTTTCTGCTTCTCTTTTCCCCTTTCTGGGGCTTTACTTCCTAATACCTGCCTGCTTTGTGCAAGTGGTGGGCAGGTAAGGTTTTGATTTTGTTTCTAAGTATTTAATTTCTGAATGACTGCTTTAGTCTGAACTTGGTCTTTATAGATTAATTTTTGGTATATATTTTTAATGTATTACAATTTAAGAATAGAAGATCTCAGGATCTTTTCACAAAATATAATTAACTGATGCTATCCTCATCCCAGCAGCTCATCTATTCGGAATGAAGTTGATAACTCTCTTCCACATTTCTGTGTTTAGGGATAATTCAGAGTTAATCTTTAATATAGGAGGAGGGGTTTCTTAGAAGATTAGGCTTTAATCTTAGAGCAAACACTAATGCTTTCCAGTGTTCTGCCTCTGCATCTAAATTGGAATTTAATTTTCACTCTTGATTGTTTTAATCATTGTATAACTTAGTATAGTGCCAAAAAGCTCATCATGAGGTATAATGTTACTGAGAAAATATTCCCACAATCTAGATAACACAAAAGAGAGTCTCAAACCTCAAGACTTCTTGTTAACTGGACACGTACATAGTTCATTTGATTTTTTTTCATAAAATGAAAATAACTTTTGCCTAAAGCTAGCTGGGATAATAGGATTGTCATGAGTTGCAGTTTCTAGAGCTAAAATTAGATTGAAATCTCATCTGTCTTAGAACATCTTACTTCAGGCACTCAGCAGCCTTCAGAAAGAATTATGAAGTTTCATTGTTGATTTACTATGTGTGTCTTAATAAACAAGCAGAATTTTTATCCTGCCTTATTTAGGTCTTAAAGATGAGAAGTTGGATCCACTGAGTTAGAATGTTCCCTTGAAAAAGAAAAATTGTAATTAAACATAAGTTTGATCCTTATTTTTGCATTGTACCTATTTTTTTTATAAAAGTAACTTGAAATGTTATAATATCTAATTACATATGACACAGGGCTGTTAAAAATTACTACATGAACATGGACTTGTATAGTTCTGAAAAATTAGATTTTTTTCAGCACATAATTACCTGTCATTGACTACTCTCAAAGATGGATGTCCAAGGCATGCGTGCTTGTAGTTCCATTTACTTAGGAGGCTGAGGCAGGTAGATCATTTGACCCTGGGAGTTGAAGGCCAGTCTGGGAAATCTGTGGGGACACCTACATATAAACCCTCATCTCAAAAAAAAAAGAGAAATAGATGAATTACTCTACATTTTTACTAAAGTATTGCTTGCTGCTGAAATAAGCCACTCTACAGAATGCCAGCAGTAAAACGGTTTCTACTCTGGTGTCTTGAAAACTTTTTTTTTGGTAATGTATCTAAGTTAGTGCTCAGCTATCCTGGTAAGCTGAGATAGAAGATCCTGAGTCCAGTATCTAAGAAAGGCTATATAAAAAAGCATGTTTTCTTTGTATCTGCATTTGTGATAACAACAGTATATTACATTTTCCTAGTTCTTTAATCTCTGTAATGTCCACTTAGCAAGTGTGAGGCGAAGAAATAAAATAATTTTTAAAATGTGTTTGTGTGTGTGTGTATATATGTATATATACACACAGACATACATATGTATACTTTCTTCCTTCAAAAATTAAGGAATCTTAACAATGCACTCTATTCACAGATTGGCTTATTTGGCTAATATGAGCTTTGTTACATGATAGTAGATTTTTGTCTTGATTACTTTCAATTCATTCATTTAATGTTCATTGTGATATATACTAGCTTTTCAATACCCAAGTACTATGAAATTTTACTTACTTGTTTTTATCATGTTAATTATATATATAATTCATACTTAGCCACTGTTCTAGATCTATTCCCTTTTCTTTACATGCCAAGTACTTTCAGCCACTTTTCAGGATTGAGGGCAGGCTCAACTGGTAAAGCACCAGTCTAGCAAGCACAGACTCTGAGTTGAATTGGGGAGCAGGGGGGAGGTAGAGAAATCATTTTAGACATTTAGAATCCAGTTATGGTCAAATGCTGATGCTCATGCCTATAAACCCTAGCTACTTAGGAGGCTGAAATCTGAGGCTCACAGTTTGAAGCTAGCCTAACATTAAAAGTTCAGGCGACTTTAATAAAAAGTTCAATTAATAGGCAAAAAGCCAGAAGTAGAGGTGTGATTCAAGTGATAGAGCACCAACGTTCAGCAAAAAGGCCAAGCAAGAATGAAAAGCCCTGAGTTCAAGCTCCAGTGCATGCATGCAAACAAATCTAGTTAATGGTGGAACATAAGAGATTGATGCTGGTGGACTGTGAGTTCAAGGCAACCTAGGTCTTCATGAGACTGTCTCAAAAAAAGAATAAACTAATTTCTTTAGTTGTTGTCAAGGTCAGGGGAGAATTTCAGGAACACTAAAGCCAAAGACAAATCCTCACATAGTAATTCTACACTTTGCTACTGTCACCAACTTGCTCACCATCCCAGCCAGTGTATTAACTACCCTGAGTGGATGTCAAAATTATTGGCATAAAAAAAGATTAGAAATATTTTCCCATCTTTTCATATCTATGGTCTTCCTCTAATTACCTGCCAGTGTTTATGTGGCTTCACCTAGCATTTATGTCAAGCTTAATTTTTTCTGATCTCAATAATTGCTGCCGGGAACATACCTGATAGTCAGCAGCATACTCAGATCATAGGGAAACACCTTAACGTACTTGGGAGAGACTGGTCTGTTCGGAGAAGTATCAGGATACCACGTCTTGCTGAAATCTTGACTTTGTGGCAGCTTTTAATTTAACTATGGACAGTAAAGCTGGAGAGAGAAATGATTCAACAGGAAATGAAGATTGAGAGTCCAAGAGTTGATTTGAGGTGATCTGGAGCCTGTGTTTTCAAACTTGCTGCACCTGTAAGAACTTTTCAGCTTGTCAAATTGTCTGGATGATACGACTTGACAGCTGTCAGAGAACCCAGAAGTATAACTGTTGCTGTGCCTCCCTGCTCTACAGACATAATACAGACCATCTACCAGTTGGAGAAGGATTCATTTGGAACAGGTATTTTATTTTGTTATTTTGTGTGTGTGTTTGCCAGGCCTGGGCTTGAACTCAGGGTCTGGACACCATCCCTGAGCTTCTTTGGCTCAGCTTCTTTGAGCCACAGTGCCACTTCTCCAGCTCTTTCTCGGTTTATTGGAAATAAAAGTCTCAGACTTTGCTGCCCAGGCTACCTTCAAACTGCAATCCCTAGATTTTATCCTCCTGAGTAGCTAGATTACAGGAGTGAGCCACCAGCACCTGTCTTGGAATAGATGTTTTAAGAATAAACAACCTAGCTAGGCACCAGTAGCTCACCTGTAATCCTAACTACTCAGGAGACTGAGATCTGAGGATCTCGATCAAAGCCATCCTGGGCAGGAAAGTCCGTATCTGTAGTTAACCACCAGAAAACCGGAAGTGGTGCTGTAGCTCAAGTGTTAGGGTGCTCGCCTTGAGCTGAAGAGCTGAGGGACAGTGCCCAGGCCCAGAATTCAAGACCCATGATCAACCAAAAGAAGAAGAAAAAAAAGAGTCAGCAACCTCCTAAATCTATTGGAGAATAAATTGTGAATAAGGCTGACAAAGTAGTTTCTTTTGGGAAGAAAGTTATTGTAAAGTTTCTGGTTGGGTGTTTGGTTATTTTTTTTTCCTTTAACTTTATATATTCTCATTCTGGTTCATGCTCCAAGCATAAGTTTTGTAATCAAAAGCCTGGTTTAGAGACTCATACCTGTAATCCTACCTACTCCAGAGGTGGAGATCTTCCAAGCTACTCAAGTGATTGAGATTGGGAGAATCTCAGTTCAAGGACAGCTTACGCAAAAATTGACCCCCACATCAACCAATTTAAAAAATGGGCATGTGGTGGTGGTATGCACTTGTCATCCCATCTACATGGGAAGGGTAAATAGGAAAATATAAATAAGGGGCTGGGAAGGTGGCTCAGTGGTAGAGTGCTTGCCTTGCAAGGCCCTGGGTTCGATTCCTCAGCACCATATAAGCAAAAAGAAAAAAGCCGGAAATGGTGCTGTGGCTCAAGTGGTAGAGTGCTAGCCTTGAGCTGAAGAGCTGAGGGACAGCGCCCTGGCCCAGAGTTCAGGCCCCAGGACTGGACCCCCCCCCAAAAAAAAAAAGGAAAATATAAATAAGAGGATTCTGTGCAGACTAGCAAAAAGAGATTCTTTCTCAAAAACAGAACAGAAAGGGACGGAGGCATGAGTCAAGCAACAGCAATTTTAAAACCTTGAGTTCAAACTACAGAATTTTATATACTACAAGATAAATAAATTTAAATGATATATAATGGATATTCAAAATGAATTTCAAATGCTCACGCCAAATTTGTAAGCCATACTGTGATATAACTTCTTTTTTTTTTTCCATTGGATACATTTGAAGTGAATTTTCAAATAAAATATACTGGGCTCCTCAAATCCTAATACTAAAAAGTGAATCTTTTCTATTGAAAGATAGAGAACATTGTTGTTTGGGTTGGTTTTTGCTTTTTTATCTGTCATGGGTCTTGAACTCTGGGCCTGGGTGTTGTCCCTGAGCTAACTCTCTATCACTTCCACAGCCCCACTTCCAGTTTTCTGGAGATAAGAGTCTCAGGGACTTTCCTGCCTGGGCTGGCTTTGAACTGTGTTCCTCAGATCACAGCCTCCTGAGTAGCTAGGATTACAGGCGTAAACCACCAGCGCCGGGCTTTTTTTTTCTTTAAAGCACTTTTTCCTGGTTGAAAATTGGGAAAAAAATTTAAATGTAACTGTTAACTCCTAATAACACATTGATTCTCCAACTTCTCCCCCACTCTCTCTTTTTAGGAACAATAGGATTTATGATATGACTGAAGTTGCATTCTTGAACTTTTTGAAGTCCCAAGATACCATTCTTTCTGCAAGATAGAAGTCAAAGACTAAAGCACACTGGGGAGAAGAATGATTATTAATACTTGAAGATTGAATCTTGAATATTTGCTGAACATGTCAAGCCTTTTGCTTCTTCAATAACATTGTAGGACAGTGAAGTATTCTACCATTGACTCCCTGAAGAGCTAAGCTGGATTTGGCTGCTGTTTCCTACCAGGAATATTGTCAATCTGGCCTTTAACAATCCCATAATTAATTATATATATCACTAACTGACCCAACAGCTCTGAACAGATACAAGTCTTATCCAGAACTTCCCTATAATTCAAGACAGGAAAGTTTTCTAATATTTTCTTGACAATGTAACTTATTTCTTTTTTCAGTTTGTTAATGCCTGTGATTTTCACTTAAAAAACCACTTGGTGTAATAGTCAATGTAGTCATGTTATTCACTGTAATGGTAAATGATAAAACACACAGGTTCAGTAGTTGTGAAAACATGTTTTTTATTTTATTTATTTATTTATTTTTGTCAGTCATGGGGCTTGAACTCTGGGCCTGGGCGCTGTCCCTCAGCTCTTCAGCTCAAGGCAAGCGCTCTACCACTTGAGTTCAGCGCCACTTCCGGTTTTCTGGTGGTTTATTGGAGATAGGAGTCTCACGGTCTTTCCTGCCCGGCTGGCTTTGAACCGCGATCCTCAGATCTCAGTCTCCTGAGTAGCTAGGATTACAGGCGTGAGCCACCGGCGCCTGGCATGTTTTTTATTTTTTATGTAAAGATAATTGTGTATAACTTGAACCAAGTCTTAATGGGATATGGGTTATTTCTGTTTAGTTCAGTGCTTCTTTCTTGTTTCTCTTTTATTATTGAGTAGTTGTATCAAAGGGTTATAATTCCATGTCCATAACTTGCCTAGTTTCTTAACCTATAAAATTGGAGTCTACTCTCAAAATGGTTTCGATTTTTAAATTTAATGGACTTGACAGCCTTTAAATACCTATTCTTATTAGGCACCATAGAAAGAGAAGAAAAGCTTTTGAAGCTTTGTCCTCAAGGCTTAATACAATGCATTTGACTGAAGATGACTTTTCTGTCTCCAAAGAAAAAGTTCCTAGTTAACTAGTGAAAAAAATTACAAGAAATAGTATAAATAGTATTTATCATGTGACACTCAAAGAAGATGTTGTATCAAGTATTTGAGAAGAAAAAGAAGCCATGAATGATGAAAACATCTAAGGAACTTAGGAAAAAGCTGAAGTTGCAGTTAGATCTCTTGTATAAGTTTGGAATGGTTAGACAAAAGGGGCATTAATAGCAGAGCGGCTATAGGTGAGAGAAGTTTGCTTACAATATTAACAGTTCTTAAGAAAAATCATTTCTTTGCATTATACAGCAGCTCTTACTACTTTCAGGGTTCCTATATTCAAATATGCCTTTATGAAGAAGTTGTAGGGTATGCTTGTGAAATAAGAGGGACTTGTATACAATGGGGAAGGACATGAAGTAAATAAAAACAAGATATCACTTTTCATTTTTCTAACTAGTGATGAAATTTTAATCTTAATACAGCAGTGGAAATAAAGAAGTTTCAAAAGTATTTCTGTACAGAAATATAGTGCAACAACTCAGGGTTGTGCTTTGAAAACGTTACAGATTGCCATTGGTTCCTAATTTATATCAGAAATAATGTACATAAAAGTCCATGTTCATAGTAGTGACTTACTCTAGTTAGTAGATAAAGCATTTCCAAGTTTTAAAAATACCATCTAGCAAACAATTCTGTTTGAGTTCAACTTGTAATTATCTTGAGAATTCTATGTAGAGACTTTAATTCAATATAGTAAACTACTTACTCATTCTTTCTAATCAGAAAAAAATGTTTTATTTATAAATTAATGGTTTTCTAGCTCAGAATTTTAACATTGTTTTTTGTTTTGATTTTTTTGAATAGGTTTCTAAGCATGAATTGAGGAGCAAAAGAAGCAGAGCAGATGATCGGAGCAGCAATTGTTTCTCCCCAAATCTAGAAATTTTAGTTCATATGTACACTAGCCAGTGGTTATGGACAACCATTTACTTGGTGTAAAGAACTTAATTTCAGTATAAACTGGCTCCGGGCAGCATTGGTGATGCAATGTCCTGAGTTGTAGCCGCTGTAATTGTGAATATTAACTGAGATAGTGAAACATGGTGTCTGGTTTTCTATTGCATTTTTTCAAGTGGAAAAGTTAACTAAATGGTTGACACACACAAATTGGTGGAGAAATTGTGCATATGCCAATCTTTTGTTAAAACCTTTTATTTTGAACTATACTGCTTTGAGATCTCATTTCAGAAGAACGGCATGAACAGTCTTCAGCCACAGTTGTGATGGTTGTAAATGCTCACAATTGTGCGTTCTTAGGGTGTCCATCGCTGCGGTTTGCAAGTTGTTCACTTAAAACATTCTTTCAATGGTTGGCTTCTTGTTTGCAAGCCAGCTGACATGGTAGCAACCAAAGATTCCAGTGTTTGAGCATATGAAAGACTCTGCCTTGCTTACCTGTGCTAGAAATAACAGCATCTAAAGTGAAGACTTAAGAAAACTTAGTGACTACTAGATTATCCTTAGGATTCTGCATTAACTCTATAATGTTCTTGGTATTAAAAAAACAAAAAGCATATTTGTCACAGAAATTTAGTTAACATCTTGCAACTGAACATGTATGTATGTTGCTTAGATAAATGTAATCACTGTAAACATCTATATGATCGGGATTTTGTTTTTATTTTGAAATGGGAGCTTTTTTGTTTACAAGTTCATTAAAAACTAAAAACTGTTTCTGAGATTTTTTTAAGGAACAACAAAATGCCTTGCTGACTATGAAGTAAAAGTGTCCCCATATTTTGATAGATTAATTCAAGCCATTTGTTCCATGATATTCCTTTGCAAGCTGGTCAAGCTTTAGTGTGTAAATTCTCATTTTTTAATTTTTTTTTCTTTTAGTCTAAAGGGAAAAGGCATTCTTTCACTCTCTTTTTTTAATGACTAGCAGGCACAGTACTTAGTACTGCAGCTGCTGGAAATTGGCATTGTAACTTCTGCTGCCACTGATGAGCAGCTGGACTGATTTTGAAAAAGAATTAAAAGCGTTAAAGGGTTTAACTACAGAATATTTTTCTTTGAAGTACTTGTGAAATGGCTGTAAGCAGTAGACTTATCCCCTGGACAGTGTCCTCTGTGTGAAATTCAAGTGGTTGTTGACCCTATAGCCCCAACCCGCTTCTATAGGTCCCCTGTGTGTGCGTGTGTGCTTCCTCTCAGTCTTACTGTGTACTCTTTCTGATCGAAAAGAAAGGAAAACTTATTGACAATAACTCTTATCAAATAGTGTAACTTATTCATTTATAGCATGTCAGGATAAATTAAAAGAACATTTGTCTGAAAATGTTGCCAGGAGCCTATTGTGTAAATGTAGGTATTTTGTCAAATAACCTTGAAAACACTGTAAAATGATGTGTTTGGTCAGATGGTGTCGGTTCAATTTGTTTTGTTTGTTTTGTTTTTTTTTCTAAATTTGAAATCCACTTTAGCAATAATTTCATGATTGCCACATTCTGCCATTAAAGGATATGTTAGTACTATAATACTGAAGAAAACTGAGTTAAGTCTGAACTTCGGGGGTAGGCAGCTGCTTTGTTTCTTTTCTAACCATCCTGTCAGTTAAGGTATTTGTTGACAAATAAACCCTTTGATACTTTTAGCCAGAAGTCAGTCTCATAAAGCTATTTTTCAGTATAGTTTGTGTAAAATAAAACTTTCGCTTTGGTGGTAACTTTTCCTAGCTGAACTCCCTCTAGCAAGATATTTTCCAGTGCTTTTATTTACTATGCACTTAGACTATGCACTTTTTCTGAAATATTTTTGTAACACGTTTTTGTATTTTTGCCATTTGAAAAAGTTGTATGGTGTAGTTGGTTTGTAATTAAGTTGCAGATTTAAAACCGCTGTCAGCTTTGTAAATCCAGACACTGGCTTATTTTCCATCTGCAGCTGAAGCTGGAAATCCCATTGATCCTCTAGCTACCATTCATTTTCTTCACAGTTCACAAAAGAAGAATGTGAAATTCAGTGAATGTTGTTAACAATCCTGTCGGGAGATGAATCTCACTTCACCAAAATTAAATTATGTTTTTCCACTAAAATGATACAAGTTGAAGACACATCACTCTGACATTGGAAGACCTCACTACTAAAGGCTCCACAGTGGCTTATTCGGCTGAACTCTAGGTTACCCTCTTTAATTACCCATTGGGAGGGGGGGGAGTCACTCTTTTTTGTTTTTGTTGTTTTTGTTTTTGTTTTTCTTCTTTCCATTGTTGGGAGATGGCCATTCTATCTATTGTTGAATGTCTGTTTGTTTGGGGAAGGTATAACGAGAAAATAAAAAAGAATATATGAAGGGAGAGACTGGTTATCTCCTCCCAAATGCTTGTGCTTATAACTACTATAACCTACAAACAGATATTTGGAGTCATGCTTTTACAACAGTTTCCCGTCTACATATTTTTTTACTAAGGGGTTTCACTACTACTGACTGGGCCTTTCCATGTTAATAATATTAAATGTTTCAAGCAGAACATACTGTAATGCTGTAAACTTAATTCCATAACAGTAATAATAAGGATGTTAGGATATAGTGAGCAAATTTTCCCTAAAATTTGTAGACATGCCAAGAACACTTACTTTTTAGAATGAGCAATGAAGAATTTCCTAAGGCCTGGCCTAGACATTTTTTGCCCAGCTGAAAGTTAAGCAGTGCTCAATGTAGGTGAACTTGAGTTGTGGCTCCTTCCCAGCTAATCTGGAACACAGGCTTTTTTTGAGCCAAACTGGTATGTAATAATATTCTGGGTTCTTTGCCAGTTTTTAAACCGTCGTGGACATCAGACCAGGATGTGAGAAGACTCTGTGACATGTAGCAAAGGAATGTGAACAAGCAGCTTGTTCAAGGTGTGCCATCCTTAGCCCAGAGCCCTGCAGATGCCACACGAGTGCTTGTTCTGCCACCAACTCCCACCCAGGAAGCATTACTCTACTAACATGTTTTCAGTGACTTCTGGGGAGTTTTGATTTAATATAGTTCTTAACTCTGGTGGGGGTTTCATTGGTTTTTCTGTGTTAGAGATTGAACCAGGCATTATGTATACTAAGCTAGTGTTGCTGCTGAGCCATGCTTTCGAGTACTTACAAGGTTGCTAAGATGGCAGTGAACCAAATGTGAGATTAATCAAAGTAGTCTACATTTTGTTTTAATCAAAACAGTATATTGAAGCACAGTGGCTTATTCCT